CGAGGTTAGCCAGTCTGTCGTTGACTTTGCCCATGGAGTTCATAAGCGAGGCCCGCATAGCCTGGATGTCCCCAGAATTGGTGGTGCTGGGGCCTTCTCCTGCTTCCGTATTGCTTGTTGTCGTGTTTAGGAATTTAAATAACTCCGCTTTCCTTGCTGTAGCCGGGTAGGGAATTTGACGTCTCCTTAACTCTGTTGTAATGCGCGGTATTGTCCAGGATCTGATTGACGCTGGACTGGCCATATCTCCTCTGTGAGAAGGTGTCTCGCACCTAGCTGGGGTACTAGGAAGCGATAGCTCCTCACCACTTGCATGAGACATGTTTAACTAAAATAAAAGGTAAAATTATTATTTGAACCCAGTGTTTTAGTACTGGCTTTCTAGCTATGCCGTAAGGCGAAATGATTATGCTTAAGTTTGTGACTGGTGAGGCCCTGCTAGTGCCAAGTGGCTTGAGAGGCTCTATCTATGCGTTGGCGCGATGGGATTTTTGTGGCCACCGATCGTAGTGGCAGGATGATGGCCTCTCGGTGAAATTACGAAGAAAAAGGAAAGGGAGTGACTGGTGAGGCCCTTTCTATGAAACTTGCGAGGCGACTAGCTCATGAGTGGCCCGAGGGGTGTATGCCTCTGAGTATGAGGCGGGTTTGTTGGCCTTGCGGGACCGCTAATACGAAGCATAATGCAGAGAAGGAGATATACCAGCTATTGGCCCCTACGACCCTATCTGCCAGTACTTATCTATTATATGGGGATCATAATTGGATATACTGTGAGCAGGTGTACGTACCTGAAAGTATAAGTAAAGAATTTTTTAGACAATCCGTTTAGGTGGCAGTAGATACCTGTAACTAAATAGATGGAAACCGTATGAAAATAAAATACAACGCATGAATCTTTCTTATTAATGTTTATTCGCCCTGGAGAGATCAATGGGGTTGATGTTCGTAGAATATCAGAGCGTTCATCTGTAATAATATGGATTTTTTTTTTTAACCGCTATTTATACCTAAATATGTGTTCGTATTTATCGTTTTGGTAATTTGTAGGGTCATAGTTGTACAGCCCTGTAATATGGTGATGTATGTATGACATATGTTCATAAAAAGTGATTTGATCCTGATCTAAGTTTATACGCATAGACGATCATAGTGCTTGCAACCCAATAAGCAAACTGACAAGTTGGGCAAACCATGTAACATTTGTATTGCAGTTGACATATGCTTGTATGACCTAATACCCATGACTAACAATGCTTGATCGTGCCATGTAGCCCTATGTGGTGTGTCTAAAGAAATTGTTATGCCTGATGTATGTAACAGGGAATGACCTTAGTGTCAGGATTAGTATGTAATATCTAATATAAGTGATTCTTGCATTAGTTATATGACCTGTAGGGGTCAGTGTATATAGATATAGATATAGATAGATATAGATATATATATATATATATATATATATATAATGGCATGTATATATATATATGCAATTATGTGGCATGACCTGTAGGTGGCAGTGTAGGTAGGACTTCCGTAATGCAACCTATGTGTGGAAGAGATTTCTAGTGATCATATGTGGAGGAAAACGTAACGTGTGATAATACTTGGAATGCATAATTGAGTGGCCAGTATGAACATGTGATATGGATACAATGGAAAAATTGGAAATCCCGTGACTGGGGTTAATCCCCCTTAGAAATGTAATTGGCACGCGTACCAGCGCTTGTCGGCGTGCGATGAAATGAGATGCAAATAGGATGTGCCTGGGCGTCATATGGAGGAATTATGGGAAATGTAGTTTCTCGGCGAATATAATATTGCGGCTGATAATGTTGTGTAACGGCGGTCTGTGACATACATCCTCACAGAGGTATGGGGAATTTAAAAGATATCCCATTATGTGAGCCGCAGTTTATTTATATGTTTAACTATATGATAGTGCGAGAGTGATATTTGGCTGTATGGTCGGGCAACCTGCGTTATGTATGAATGAGGGTAGCTGTATCTGCTTACCCATGGAACACATAACTGCTTAAGCGTGCGGTGTTATATCCTTATTGCGAGGTGTTTAACCGGAACGAGTATGCTTATGTAAGCCCGATACATAGTGATAAATAAAGAGCTGGGAAAGTGATTTGTTAGTTAACCGAAGCGTGCCCGTACAGTGTGTACCTAGCCCGCTACCGACGCCGTGGGACTGTTGCCAGGCGGAACGGGTAGGTAAACTTACGTTAGGCGAGTGCCTAGGATGTAATCTGCGGCGACGAACAGAAGCTTTAGAAACTGGTCGGACGGAAACCTGCTGCTGGGTTCCTGGACACAGTTTCAGCGTGGACGACCTTGTGGGAAGACGGAAGAATTCCAAAATGGCGCCTGGATGAACCGGAAGTGCATTCAGACGCTGACCTTGATCGGTAAGGAGTCAGGTAAGAGGTGTAGTTTATATAGGGGAGTAAGTTAACTTAAGCCCCTCCCACAAATACAGGCCAAACGGCCTTAACACATATATATATATATATAACTAATACACACATTAATATACATGAGATTATATATATATATATATATACACACACACACACACACACACCCCAAGTGGTGGATCCAGAGCCTGATCTCGGGAGGGGCACTTATAGATTTAAAGAAATATTCCATGCACAATAACCACTACTGCTCTGTGTAGTGGTTTGGTGCCGGGACCCGCTCCCAGAGTAAGTAGTCAAACCGTTTGACAACTTACCTGAGGTCTGCTGGGATATGGGGCTGTAGTAGGGTATAGAAGCAGTGGTGCAATGTGTGAGGGGTGCAGTTTGTGTGAAAGGTTCAGTGTGTTTGTGTGTGTTTGTGTGTGTGTGTGGCAATGTGTGTATGGGGGGGTCTAGGTGTGTGTATGGGGCTAGAGGTCGCAGTGGTGAGAGTGAACTCTAGCCCGTAGCTCCAGCGCAAGAGTTCACTCTCGCGAGAGCTGGAGCGTTGCCACTGTAACCGCGGCAACGCTCTGTACTCGCGCAAGAAGGAGCTGCCGGCTGAGCTCCCGGGTCCTCTCTTCCTCCCTCCCCTGCCGGCTGCCTGCATGGTGCCTCCAGAACAGGGAGGGAGATCTCTGATCTCCCCTCCGGTCCGTAAAGGCACATGGTGCTTGGGTTAATTATAGGGATCGACCGATATTGATTTTTTAGAGCCGATACCGATACCGATATTCTGTGAACTTTCAGGCCGATAGCCGATATAATTTGCCGATATTGTGTACGTTTACCATTTTGGAAAATAAAAACTATTTCTAAAGGTAAATGCACAAAATATACATGCCACGTGTAGTGGATGCAGTGTGACAGGGGAGCTGTGTGTGTGTGTGTAGTGGATGCAGTGTGTGTCTTTGTGTAGTGTGTGTGTAGTGGATGCAGTGTGTTAATTCCTGCTTGGTTCACTGCTGCCCACCTTTAGTTTATTTAGTGAGCGCCTAACTCCTCTTTGTTGTGTCTTTGTGTAGTGTGTGTGTAGTGGATGCAGTGTGTGTTTGTGTAGTGTGTGGGTTGTGGATGCAGTGTGTGTTTGTGTAGTGTGTGTGGAGGATGCAATGTGTGTTTGTGTAGTGGATGCAGTGTGTATTTGTTTAGTGTGTGTAGTGGATGCAGTTTGTATTTGTTTAGTGTGTGTAGTGGATGCAGTGTGTATTTGTTTAGTGTGTGTAGTGGATGCAGTGTGTATTAGTGTAGTGTGTATATAATGAAAGCAGAGTGTTTGTGTAGTGTGTGGGTAGTGTGCGTAAAGTGAATGCTGTATATACTAAATGCAAAGTGTGTGTGTATTTGTGTAGTGTGTGTATAGTGAATGTAGTGTGTGTTTGTATAGTGTGTGTATATAATGCAGTGTGTTTGTGTAGTGTGCATTATATAAACACACTACGCAAATACACTGCATTATATACACACACTACACACACAAACACTGCATTATATACACACTGCACAAACACACATTGCACAAACACACACTGCACAAACACACACTGCATTATATAAACACACTACACAAA